TGGTAAGATGGAGCTCAGATATGGAGAAAAGAGGCATCCTTGACTGTCCTCTCTTTTTGCTGGCTTGCTTCATGTGTTTATGCATGGGGAAGTTTAAATAAAAGGTTCTAGCCTGAGATTGTAATGAAATGCAGTGATTTCAGATGTGATGGTTGATGAACATAGTAGTTGATGTAACCAGATACCACATTTTCTCTGTAACCAAAAAAAAAAAATAAAAAAAAAATTGATGGCTGCTTGTGGACACAGTAATTTGTTCAAACCAAATGCTAAAACAACAAGAAGTCTACTGCCACTGCCACCACTGAAGCCACAAGCAAACAGCTCATATCTTGGAACTGAAGCCTAACTAAACACACCACATCTCTGCATCTAGAGAGTGTGTGGTCAGATGAATACTGAGCAAATTTCCACTTCTGGTTAGCTCTGCCTAATGATAGGCCATAACACTTCTATGTTTTTATTAGTTTTCAGTAGACATTTATCCAGTGACACACTCTCTTGCAGTGTAAACTTACCTGTCTTCGACAGAAGTAAAACACATTTCAACCAGCTACATTTTGCCACTAGACATAACATTGCTTTGCTTATACTGTCAATGATCCTGTCATTTTTTTCCAGAGTGTTGTATGATATTGTGCTTCTGGGTCCTGCTACAACAAGTGAAATCAGGAATTCCCTTCTCAGAGTGAAGCCTTCACTGCTGATGGCTGTATTGACATGAAGATGATGGCTGAGGGTAATGTGTATTGAAGGCACAGCAGCCTGCTGAGATTGGTGATAGTCATTCCTGAAATGCTTGATATAAACTGAAATTTTTCACTATTTTGTCAAGCAAGGACATGCTTGGTTGGAAGATGTCATAATTTCAAGGGTTCAGGTCTGAACCTAGCTTTGTTTTATACATCTTTGAGACATGAGAGCACATGTGCAGACTCCTTAAGTTTTTCCTTGTATCCAGGTCCTCTTACACGGCAAAACAAGTAGAAAAGGCATCATCTTTACATTTGGCTTCAGGCTGTGTGGGTTTTCTCTTCTTAGCAGTGCCAGTCCACCTGCATGTCAGTCCCCTGCATGCAGCTAAGTCCAAACTCAGATCTCCCATTATCTAAAAGGCTTCATTGGTCTCAAAGAAGGGAGAAACTACTGCTTTTTCTGGGTACCCAGCTCCCAGGGTACCCAGATAAGAAGGATAGACAAGATCTGATAAGAAGGATGAAGATTCATTGTGTGTCCGCCACCAAGAACGTGGCACAGAAATCCTGATTGTGCAGAAAGCTGTCAGTTCAGATAGACAGTGAAGAGCAAACCTTGCCCTCTAGTCTTTCTTCGTCTTAAGGTGAAAGAACCACTGAGATCACTTACGATTTGACTATTGTTCCTGTCCATTATGATTAACTTTAAGAATGTGAGACCTTAATCTTAATTTAAATGATTGTAATATCCCTGGCTGTGGTGCAATTTTGGTGATAGGATGAAAAGGAATAGTCCTTTGAGATGACATGGTTGATTCCTGTGTATTTTCTTCTTGTCTCAGGGAGCAAATCTTGCATTTGCTCATCCAGCTGGAATATTAATGACCATTTCTGCTGCTGGTGCATAAATGAGAACAGATCCCAGGTTGTTCATCCACTGTTCTAGAGCAATTCTTAAAGGTAGCAACATGTATTCACCCACATGCTTTGCTTACTGTCTGGACAGGAATCATCCCTTCAATACAACTGAGGTTGAACCTCCCAGATAACTTACCAGCTTGTAGCTATTTGGTGGTCAGAAAACAAAGGGTTAAAACCCCATTTAGCTGTTTTATTGCTGAATTTATGATTATTAGCTTACAAAATTAAATTGCATAGAGAAAGGTCCAGTAGTTTGGAATTCTGAAACATAACTTCTATACAAGTCTTCATTTCAATTTCCCATCAACAGTTCTCAGAAGATGGCTTCATTTTATTGCCAAGAGTTGTGTTTTTATGAAGGGCATTCTCTTCAAAATAACAAATGTTTCAGATGATTTATATCTATTTTTAAACTTAACACCTTTAGTATGCACTCTACCTTATTACGGATGTCTGTCACTCATGATTCAGTCCAGTGGAATTACTGATGAAACGATAACTAATAAAATTGGTTGTGAACCAAAATTCAATAACAGCAAAGTTAATTACATGTTTGCAAGAGTATAAACTTACAGTTTGATCAATATGTAAATTCTGACCTTCAATGGTCTTTTCAGTCTTCTTTTAAGCTTTTAGTCTTGCAAAGATTAACTTAACTGCCTAGAACTTCCTTTTATGAAGTTACCAGAATATAAGAATAAAGAATTTCAAATGGTGACTTTATATTTTTTCAGAAATTTAAAAAACCACAAACACTACAGATACTGTAAGTACTCCTTAATCTGACTGAATAGCAGCATTAAACTTATATATATATATATACTATAGCAAGAATAGCTAATTAATATTTTTTGATATTTCTTTTCTTATAAATTATGCTATTAACTGTATTAACACAGCATGCTTGCAACACACTGCTTGAGACTCCTGTCTGAACTGAAAAGGAGATCTATATAAGGGATGGTTGTTGAATCAAAGCTTTTATGAAGTTATTTGTCTCTCAGGGTCTGCGAGAGCAGCCTTCATGTATCAATGATCCTCTTTCCTTGACTGAATGACTACTTTTTTTATCTGCCTTTCCTGAAGTAGATCTAAAGACACCAGTGCACTTGGTTTTATACTGTTTTTCCTAGGGAATCCATTTCTCTTGCAGATTAAACAGGCAGTCAAACCCTATATTTAACATTGCTATGGATAGTAATAAGCTTGACACACACAAGCTTTATTCAGGGCAGTCAAGAAAACACGTTTTTGGACACATAACTTTCTGGTTAAACTCTAATTTGACCTTGGGATGACATGTTGTTTGAGTGAACAATTTGCAGAATACTGCCAGCTGCACCACAAAAATTCACTGAGAAGGACATTGTTTCTATCTAGACATTCATCATTTATATGTTTGCTTGGCTGGTTTTGCGTGTTACATTTATGTCCTCAGAGTCAGGAGGGAATTGCATTGACTGGGATGGAAACTGAAGGAAGTCCTAGCTCAGACATGAATATATCCTATTGTGTAATATGAGGCTGTATTTTTCTGGAGGATTTGTGGTTACAGAGCAAACCACAAGATGCTTTCTAGCATGTTTGCACTGAATGGCTTCTACAGTAGGACATCCGTGCTCCAGTTCAGCTCTTAGGCAGCTCTTAGACACTGCAATAGGCTGCTTGATGGGCACAGAAAGGACTGACTTATTTTAAAATAACTTGCAGAAATTCACTCAATGTTTTAAAATTATTATTCTCTCGGGAAGATTCTATGTCTGATTTGGAATAACAGAGAAAGCTTCATTTGGGAGGTGTGGAATCTTATGGCTCACGTAATTGTAGCTTTGTTTCTGAAGCCTCCCTCTGTGTCCTACCATCCCACTATTTCTAGATCTATCAAGGGTCCCAGCTGCTCCTCTTTCCCTTTGTGGTTGGCTTTGTCAGTGGTAGAGTAGAAGAAGGGCTAGGACTAGCTCAAGAAGGTTTACTCCTTCATTTTGTATGGCCTCGGGAAACTAATTTATCTCCTGATTGAAACTGTTATCCTCTGATACTGTCAGTGTTACATGGGAGCTTCTGTATGTTTCATGCAATTAATTCCTTGATTTTTGTCTTCTTAAGGTAACAGAATTGCAGGAAGAGAATAACAAACCCAAACATTGTAATTTGCTTTAGTATCAGCAATCATTTCAGGCCTGACTAAAGGGGGAATAATATTGCATGGGAATAGTGTTTTAAATGTACAAAATCAGAACGTTGTACTTATCACAGGATCATAGGTAGTCAGTCTATAACAGCATGGAAAGCTTTCTCTAGAGTCCAGCCAAAGAGGCACTCTTTAGCAGGAGGTGTAGTCCTTCCTGACCTTGAGAACCCCTTTTCCCCAGCAGTGACAGAACTGGGAACCAGAGGACCCAAGCATCTTGCATGAGGCCCTTGGTACCTTGCAGAACTGGCTGTAGCATTTCTGTTGATGAAAACGCCAGAGATATATTCCTGCTCAGTGCTGGAATATAAAGTTTAGTGTATTTTGCATGGTGTGTGCTAAAGAAGGCTAAGGAAGGCTTGGTAACGTATAATGAATGTATATTTTGCCCTTGTTGATGTGATTTAATTACAATGCTGAAACAGAAAAGTGAGTGTAAAGTATCAGGCAACACACAAGAAGCGAACCTAGTGAGAATTACTTGGTCATTGAAATCTAAAAGTCAGGAAGGTTTCGATCTTTGGGCTCACCTATAATTTGTGCACCATAAATGTAGACTGAAGTCGTTAGGGACTTTGTAATGACAGTGCTGTCTATAACAGTATCATCAAGCAAGACATTGGCATAAATCATTGGCACTTTGCAAAGTGTCACTTCTGTCAACCTCCCAGGGATGTGATCTTTAGTCTTTCAAATCTATAGACTGGCATTTGGATCAGCTAAGCACCTAACATCCTGTCTTGCATATTAAAGCTGCTTTAGCCAATATCTAAATGCTGAAGTAATGCCTGCCTAAAAATATTTTTGAATTATTTGCATAATATAATCCCACTACTTTAAAGCTTTCCTTTAGGGCATAACTTTACAATCTGTCCTCTGCTGATGAATTCACAACTACCTTAATCAATAATAATAAAAAAAAATTGCTATTAATTGAAACAAGAAGCCCTGTAAAATGACTAAATGGACGTTAAGAAAAATCAGATACTAAAATAATCACAGTTTTCATAATACTTTCAAATAAATGTTATGAAGACTAAAGCTTTTCAGTTTGAAATTGCTTTAGATAATATACAGACTTTTTATGGATTGGAATTTTGCTTGTAGGGATTGATATAAATAGACTAAATAACATAAGAAGATTTAATAACAGCTGAAAGTGGACAGCAAGCAAAGAAAACTCTCTTCCATCTCTCAAATGGATCTCAGCACTGGAACTTAGTAATGTAGCACCTCTCTGGACAACACTGAAATTCTATCCAAGTTGTTTTGTCTTCCCATGGGTGAGTTTTTAGAGACGATGTACTGTTAGATGTGTAAACGCTGCTGGGTGTGTTCCTAGCACTGGACATTTGTAGTCATTACTGATAAATTGTTAGAAGGTCCCTGGTATGGTCTTGTTCAGTGACTGTTGTCTAAAGAACACTGATTGAGTGGTACAGGTGTTGTTGTAAAGGCTACCTGAAGCTACTAAGAAGCGTGTGCAGAATTTGCAGGTGTGTCCTTATGACTACACTAGGTTGACAAACTACAGTCACTTCACTATAATCTTCTCCTCCTTCCTCAAGCTATTAAAGCTCAGGGTTGTATCTTGTATGAGATTTTAGAAGAGTTTTCTTTTGGATTATGAATGTATTTTTTGAAGGGACTTTAAAAGCCCTTGTAGTATGTGCCAAAACCAAACTGATTGATATACCTACAATGTAAATTTAAAAGACGTTGCAGTTGTACACACAGATGTAATGAAAGGCATGAAATCATCTTTGCCACAAATAAAAATATATGTAGCTCTATGAAAGTCAACACTTTCATAATCATCTACACCCAGGACTAAACTAGCTTACTTAGAGTCTAGAAGGCATGTGCATCTTAGAGTGCAGATGTTTGGAAAAGGCTAGATGAGACAGGTGGATTTCATGCTCTTGCCCACTGGCCTCTGGAGGTTTCTGGACTACTTCTAAAGTGCCTATAAAAGGTTACTAAAAACCAGACCTGTTTTCAACATATTTAGGTATCCTCCCCTTTGCTGAAAAACTTGAAAATTTTGAATGGAGGGCAACAAGATATACCAATTAGATTAACATTAAGCATCTTCAAACTCAGGCTGAGTTTTAAGAAAGATATATATTACAGGTGCTCAGATGTTATGAAGGCCTTACAAAATTCTGGCCTAAGTATCTGTACAGCCTCATTTGTCACTAAATAAACAAATCTGGAACTATTATTTAGAATACTGTAGTGTATACAAGCTCTGTGATGGATAGAAGTCCTATTGTTCTATGCTCTTTGTCCAAGCATAACATAATTTTGGTTTATAATTACCATCCCAACAGAAGTAGACAGTAGAAGAATGGTAATGTTCTCACAAAAACTTTACAACAGTGAGAATCACAGATGGATGACCTCACAAATTGATTTTATTGTGGTTTTGATTGCCAAAGGTAATAAATGAGTAACTTAGCCAGGTTGTATCGATAAATTTGAAGCGAAATGGCTACAACTGGACATGATATAAACAAATGTGCTCAGAGTGGAAAGATTTATACCTTTTTTGACATAAAACCTGCCATATCTTTCTAGATATGTTGAAGTCTTCAGTGTTTAATTTGGAAAACCTCTTTTACAGGCAAGAGAAAAGAATGAAATTCTATATCATAAGCCTTTAATGATGAAAAGTGCAAGCAATAGATGTAGTTTCTTATTTAAAAAACCCTAGAAGGTATTTTAGAAATAACTTGGAAATATAGTAAGAGCATCATCCATCATCCACCTGAAACTCAAAGGAAAAGCCTCTCTTCCACCTTTGTTATTTAATGTTAACATATTCATAGTGCATCTCCTAGATTTTTGTGTGTGTGTGTGTGTTTAAGATGTACAACAGTGAAGTCATAGCTTTCTGTAAAGATCAGGAAGGAAAACTGAACTAATATTTGCATTTCTGCTTACTGATCTTGTTTGTCCATAAGCTCAAAAAATATCTGTTCATGTTTACATGACATTTTCTAGGGAGAACTATGCTAAGTGATGAAGGATGAGACAATATGTGTGTATTTAAAGGGATAAAATGAAAGAATTACAAGGAAGATTTCTAGCCAGTAATTGGAAACAAAAGGAGAAACCATCAGCACTGAAATTAATAACTGTCCTGCCATTGGCTTTATGGAGCCTAGTATGTGGACCAGAGTAAGAAAAACAATTACGCAAATCATAATGGATTCAGGGATATGTCTGGAAAATAAAGAGATGATACTCCAACTCCGTTTCCAGTCTCTGTAGCTCCATGTTTTATCTGACTGATCAGCAGTAAATTAGAAGATCATTAGATTCCATAGTTAACATTTCATTGTGATGGATAAATTAACTGCATCCAAGGCAGGGGCAGAGGAGTGGTCTCAATAGAAGAAAAAACCCTGCCCTGATACTCCATTTTTTCCTTATAATGGACTCAGCATGCAAGGAGCTGAATGAGTTCACCGGATACTGAGGTCAATGAACTAAATTCTCTGCTCTTATACAATGCCACTATAATGTAACTGTGCTGAAGCCAGTTGAGTCAGACCAGTGAAAAACTGGTCTAAATGAGAATGAATCTATCTCAATAAGGAGTCAAGATGCTCAGCAACTCAAGAAAATGCCATACCTTTTATAGCATAACTTCTTGGCAGAATATCAGATGGGACAATAAGATTAAGGGAAGTCCCACTTCCTTTCTGGTTTAAATGTGCTCTCTCACTTAACACAGAATATTGTTTTTCCCATACATATAAGCAGCAATGGTTCAAATCAAACATAGCACTTCAAGCAACAAGTGCTCCACACCTAGAAAAAATCCAATTACATCAATTCTTTGCTGGGTGCCACTGAATGGCAGGATAGCCTCATAGGCATAAATTTCTTCAGGATCAATCCTGAAAACCTTTGTAGTGCTCAGATGGACAAGCTCTCTCAGTGATACTTTATCTGTCTGTAGAGAGCTTTACTGATGGGTATGGACATACCTGAGAGCATGGCTGCTTGCTTTCTGACTCCTGGGCCCTGAACTTTTAATCACTCTCTCCAGTTCGCCTCTCTTCACTTTTGAGTTTTATCGATTTTAAGAATTCAGTTTCCTTCATCCTCATTTCTCCTTTCTAAGCATTGTTCATGATATTTCCACTTCCTCTATTGTTCTGATACAGACAATTCTTCTCTCAGCTCTTCTCATTTGCTCCCAGGGCAAGAGTTTGGAGAAGCAGCATCAGCATCTGGCTCTTCCCAACATCCAAGATTCAGGTGGCCTTGAAAAAGATAGAGTAGTAACTAGTAACTTCAGTGAGTAAGCTGTGGGTATAACATCTCATAGTTTAGGGGGAGGGGGCTGTAGGAGGTTTATTGCATAACTGTAGGTGATAAATGTTAAGAGGTTGGCTACCAAGGTGGCTTATTTAACATGTTGCTGTACTGCTTTCCCCTTCTGGGACTTTCACAGGGGACGAGGCATTGAGTTCTTACTGATCTTCAGGAAATTGGGCCTAACCCTGGACCTCTGAAAATGTCTGCTATTATTTAAGCAAGTCTTTAAATTCTTGTACCAGTTCTAACAAAACGTGTTACCTGGGATACAGTAGACAGTAACTATTCACCCCTCTAAGTGCCTGGTCCTTAATGGGAGATAGCTGTAGCAAAGTAGCATCTTCTTATTTCCTTTCTTCCTGCCTCTGTCACCTTCAAAATATTCTCTCCCACCACCCTTCATAAGCAGCTTTCACCTGATATGAATTTTATACCTGTGATGCTCTGTGTTTCCCAGTCCCTTTGTAGATTTTGTTAATACATCTGAAAATGCTTTAAGTCTGAATGTCACTATGTGCTTGTAGAACAACATAACAGAACCTACGCTGGTCAGGGCTGCAAGGTGCTACTGCTGTAGTTAATTAACTAGCTTGACTCTTTAGTAGTAAATTGGGTTTTGTACTAATACTGAGACATTCTCAGGATTGACATGTCTGAAGAAGTGGAAAATGCCTTTGATCTGGCCTTTGTAATCGAACTAGTGCAAAAGATCAATTTAAAAAATGTGTTACATAGTTTAAAATTCTAAAATAATAATTTTAAACCATGACTTCTAAAATGCAAAGATGTAAGGGGTACTTGTGCTTCTTAAAATCTTCAGGACATTTTTCAGGAAATGGTTCTCTAGCTTTGCTTCAAGTATTACTTACCCTTACACCTAGTATCTGGTAAATGAGCTTAGAAAAGTGTTTGTACCCTCAATAACTTATCAGAAAACATGTGTAAAAATACTCAATGACAATGTGCACAACTGTTCCTTACGAGCTTATGATGACAATGTGTATCAAACACTCAGCACATATCTAGGCAGCAGCTAAAGTTCAGCTACTCAACTTTAACCCCCAAGAGGAGGTCAACAGGAAAAAGGAATGCATGTTAAAGCTCACACCGATGTTAAGTGAGATTCCTTCAATGGGGCTTGAACTCCTACTCAAGATATCAGCAGCGCGGCTGAGTGCCTTGGAATGCAAATCGAGCTTGTTACTCAGCATTACAGGAGTCATAAAAGTTCTACATCAAAGATGCAGATACAGGCTGAATTTTATCCAAGGGATGTTTCACCACCTACCCAATGCCAGCTTCCAATTTGAGACAATGGCAGGGAATACTTTGAACTACTTCTCATGGTAGGGCATGTAAAATGCTGCTGATTAGACTCCCTCTATCTTCACAAATACTTTATCATTGTTTGTTCCACTAAATTAACACTAGAAATGCAAGATCTTGGAACAAAGGTTCAACAAAATGCTTTCAAAGATGAAAATCCTCACACCTTACAACCTTCATTTTTTATTGAATGATCTTTTATTATATCTTCATGTGCCAATAAAAAAAAAAATCTCACTTCTGAGTATTGCTAGACTAAATAATAACATAATGTAATGTACAGTTTTACTAGTCATGTGATGACTCCAAACTTTAGAGATTGATTTAAAATAGTTTAGATACACTACTTCACCTGTAAGCATGGCAAAAAACCCCAACCAACCAACCGACCCACCCAACCTCAGGGGACGTAAGAGAATGGCACAGGTTACAAAAATGCCCCAGTTTTTGTTGCTCATTCTTGAAAGTTCAAAGCACATGAAAAACCCCACAGGAATCACATTTTATTCATCTCTTAAATTAGGGGGAAGGATGTGCCAAGGAAGTGAAAAAAATTTAGATAAACTGAGGGGAAATGAAGTGGAGCAATAAAATTCAAAATAATGATAATTACATAAACTCAGGTGTTTTACTGTTAGTAGATCGAGCAATTGAATGAAAGGGAATTATATTCCCTATAACCATGCAGCAAAAGCACACAAAGGATAAAAAAAAGAGAATGGAACATTTTTTGTGGTACTGGCCACACAGGCTATAATTTATGAAACAAGACTCAGCAGTTTAGGCCTCTGTTTCATTCCTCTGATGAAGATGAAAGAAGAGATACATAAATCAGGCTTTTTTTCTCTTAACTTCTGGAGAGTTTTAAGATACTTCACCGCAGAATGGGGTACCAAAATGCAGGCAGACAGACAGACAAATGAGCAGGAAAGTTCATAAGGAGATCTGTACATTTGGTCTTGTACTTCAACCACCATTTTTTTTTACAGGTCCGCTTTGTATTGATTTTGCTGAGAGGACTTTACCCACTGTTTCCTTCCATGCCACTCTCTGTACTTCTCCTTTAAGATGTGAACTTGACCTTTCATGATGACCACCCTTTGGTGAAGGCTGTCCTGCCATCACCCACCAGTGAATGGCAGTGAGCATCACCACCCAGCTGGGACTAGTGGAGCAAATAAAGCCATAGAGAGTCTGAATGTGTGTCAAATCTGCTCTCACCCAAGGAAGATATTTTATACTGTGCAGTTGTTTCCTGGTGAATCTGTGTGCTCTGCTCCCTCTGCAATATTCATTAACACAAGTCACTTGTACAGTAAATATTTATTTAACTTTAAGATTTATATAGTGTCTTTCCCTACAGCATCTAGGTGGTATTTGCAGAAATTAAAAACATAAGTTATATGAAGCTTTCAATAATGTTTTGCATTAAATTGCTACTGTTGTCAGAAATAAATCAGCCATATTGTCATGAAATGAAATAAACCTAACAAACCCCAAACAAGCAGAAGTACAAAATCAATCAACCAAAAGCTAACCAAATAAATGTGGCTTGCATAAATACAAGCAAGAAAGATTGGCTATCAGCGGCATCTCTGAAATACCTAGACATGAATGAAAGAAGGCATCATTAATCTGCATTGATTGCACTTGTTTGCTGTGCCCTGCTTCCTATCTGACCTGAACACTAGCTGGAAGCCATATTGCTAACGTTATTTGTAGGCAGATGTATGTTTGCTGCAGAGATGGTGCTAAGGCGAGCAATCATGGTAACTGCTAAGTTTAGGAATGTGAAAGGGGAGCATTTTTCTCTGGCAGCAAAGGCAGTTTGAGGGGTTCCAGCCTCCTTGCTCATTTTCTCCTTTGTCTCCCTGTTCATCACTCCAGCAGTTGCTTAAGGGCAGCCATTAGTGCAATTTTGCTATATGGTCAATCGGTGAGTTCTTCTAGATTAAATACCTCCCAAAACAACATTAGCAAAGAAAATCAGAAAGAACAGCAAGCTCCTCCAGCCATTGCCCCCATCCAGTTTAGGACACAAGCTCACAAACAGCGAAAACAGCACCATTAAGAGACCACTGACCTCTGGGAGCAGGAGAAGAGGGAGAAACAGATGCTGTAGAAAGCTCTTCAGCAGGCTTTACGGCCAGGGAAAATGTTTATTTAACTACACACCAAGTTAGGAAGCTGTGCCAGTCTCTGGTGGTGGCTGCTGGAGAAAGAGGGACTTTTCCCTTTCCAAAGGCCCTCAGATGTCTGAAGCTTACTCTGGTTGCTACAGACTTATAGATACAGAGCTGCGTGTGGGCTACTATTTTAAACACTGCATACACCATCACTTTGTTTTTGTTTTTCATGGTGGGCTACATGCTCAGCCCACAGTGAGGCAAAGCACTTAATGGACTAACTTCACACATCTGAGTTAGGAAGGTTGGAATAAGCAATTGTTTTGTTGTTGGCACGCATTATTTCTAAAGGCTTCCTTTAGCGATTTCTCCCATAATAAAATACACGTAGTGCTTCCAACTGAGCATTTCCCATTGGAAGGCGGCCAATTCACTAGGTGCCTATGTGGAAAGCCAAACACTTTCAAAAATCTGATCTACTCTCAGAGCACCTTCTGCTCCACGATCTATGCTTCTATTTTACCTTCACACCAGCTGATTATTTAAGATCTAAAGCGTGCTGGATTAAGTTTGGTTTCCATTTTCACCTCGTCACAGAAACAGCATTACCCAGCTGTAGAAGGGAGCAAAAATGAATCCAGAGTGGTTTTACTTGCATATCAGTCCTGCAGCCATGACTTTCCCTGCTTGCATTAAGTGGGATTTATTTTTCCCTTTGTGAAGAATCAGAGGTTTGACTTATGATACTACTTAGCATGATGATGCTAGTGCAGGGACCAGCTCTTATTACAGCAATTTGGTAACAGATGCAGATATAAATGCATGTACCTTAGAACAGCGTTTTCCCATCTTTCGCCTTTTAGTACCATATTGTGCTTTTTAAAACATCCTTTACAACTCCTTGCTAAAGAAACCCATCTGCATCATTTACCCCTTTAAAGACCATCTTTGGTGAAATAGATTTCACAGGCAATGTAGTGAGGGTTTCATAGGAAATTGGATTTTTTTCCTCACTTTGTTGTACAAAAGGTTAAAATTTATTTCTGTTTGATCGTGCACACCTCAAAGATGTCCCCTGCAGGCTCTGTCTGTTGGCAGTTAACATGGGTTTAAAGAATGCTCTCTAGGCCATTTTGCAGTGAGAAAGTAGTAAGTCTTACATGGAAATGCAAACAAAACCTTTAAAGCTTTTGATCTTCTTGGGGACTTGATGAAATCTCTTGAGCAAATTGAAGGATTACATGCAACAGCAAATATGTACAAGTATAACAAATTAACTGTAAATGATATAACTAATCTAAAATGGAAGTATAAGATATTACTGTCTTATGGCAGCATTTGAACTTTGTTTCGCTAAAACTCAAGGATATTTTAAAAGAACTGGTAAATGACTATAGACTACAAATATTCATTCAAATGCAAAAGAGAATTGCTTTGGGGTTTCTTTTCCTTTAATCTCCTTCTGATTTGATCTAAGCACATCCTTCTAACCTTAATGCAGAGGAGTGGGAGGGAGTGTGGGGTGGCAAACTGTGAAATTCATACTGCTAATCCCCTGAGGACTTTCTAATCAGACAAGAGCCACTAGGGAGATAGTTTCCTAAAGGTCTTTTGTTTCTCCTCACGTAAAGAACACAGAGAGCAGGTATGCTGCTGTGCATGGTACACTGAGACTTTTGCATGGCAAAACAATAACACTTTGAAAAGGCAGCAGGATTACCATATCTTCTTGTACTAATTGTCATTCAAAAAGGTGACCTATAAATTTCCCCCTGCTTTGAGCAGAGGTGGCATGGTGACCTGGTCAACCCAGGTTCAAGTGTCATTGATTGGATGATGATGGACAAGGAAGAGTCCTTTGCCAAACATGAATCTACTTGACATTTCACTCATCAAGCACCTTGGGTTTATTTTCTAAATCAGCCTTTTCTCTTGCTTTGCTTACAATTTAGCAACAGTGGCATGCACAGGCACATCATCACATTTGCATCTGGTCACAGCTCTGGGGAGCAGGCGTAAAGGAAGAAAAGCCTATGGATAATTTTCACTTCACATAACTTTTAAATGAATGGGGTGAGCAGTAGTGAGGACTGAAACACCGAGGAACTCAAATCATTAGGAACTTCAAAAGAGGAGGACTGCAAAGCCTCTCTTGCAGCACCATCAACTAATTTGTCATCCCTTTGGGAATGCTTCTGTTCAAAATGCTAGAAAATAATTCACAATCATGATAACAGTTTGAGAAAAAAGTCAAAGTGATCACCTTTATCAGGCCCTTTTGAAGTTAAATGTATCTCATTTCGAGACATGTAAAGTATTCTTAATATAGGCAACCATTAGAAAGATCATATGCAGAAGGCTGTGTCTTTTACTACTCTCATGTTTACAGACAGGATTACAAATCCCTGTTCTCTATTGAAATCACGCAAACCTTTCAAACTTGTGGTTTAATTACTACCACTGCCTGAAATGTTTAACAGGTTCCAGACATTAAGGGTCTGTTTAAGACACAGTTTTTGCATCTGCCTTTCCAGTTAAACAGGTATAACCTTGAGTGTGAACTGAGTAAGAGTAGTGTATTGGCACTGCACATTCTGTGTTTTGATCACACAGAAAACATGTGTCACTTGAACCATATTGCTACTGAAAATGCAGTACACTCCTCTCCTCATGCCAACAGAGGTGTAGTTTTATTAGGATAAAAGTGCTTCATTTTGATATGAATGACTGACAGTCAGGAATGGGAATAGACTGTAACACTTCTGCATCCGTAGCAGGGAGCATGCCAGCCTAGCCATTTCAATATAAAATATTGGCAGAATGGGTACCATTGCTTAAACGTGCCGGATCATAGCCCAGCAGTGGCAGCAATGCCTGCTGGTGTGCAGTGGCCCAGCCTAGGGTGATGAGGTGCAGGAGGTCCAAGTGGGGCCCTTGGGAGTCAGAGGAAGCAGAGTGCTTCTGCTTATCAGGAGATGAGTCTGTCCTATCAACCAGCCTGAGCCTGGCGGAGTGCAAAGGCTTTTCAGCACTGATTTGCCCTGTCAGGATGACAGGCTTATCTGGGACCTCCCTATGCCTGGCTAGGACAGATATCTGGGGTCTGGTGCATTCATGTACCACTCCCTCCCTTGCAAACTTACCACCAGGGTTGAGCCGCCCATATGCTCTCATTCCCAATAATGACAGAAAGTGGTTTGGCTAGCTATACCATTGACATCGAGGCCTCATGCTCCTACGGAGTGAAGCACTGAATACAACTGGTCCAAATTTTCAAAGAAATATTTCTTCACTACAAAAAGCAGTTTTGGTCTAGCTGAAAGAACTGACAAATTCATGCCAAGTTTGATCACTTTTTTCCCCTTTTCTGTTCCCAGACATTTTATCTGTTGTCTTGACTGTTCTGCCTTAATTTAACAAGGAAAGAGAAGGTCTAATCCTCTCTCCCCTGAACCCTGGTGTCTAAATGAAACATCTTAATTATACAAAGTCGATTCTTGTTTGGCATTTTTTATTTTTCAAGGGTGAAGGGTGTAACTTCACAGTGAAAACAGAGTATTTCTGCGTGAGGCAGTATTTCCATTCAGTTTGCAGGCTGTAAAATCAGTTTTCTCAGCTCTATTAATGAGAATACCTGCTAGTGCTCTTTCTACTAATAACACATGATAAAGAAGATCTCCTTGAAAGAAATGAACAATTCTGATATGTGTAAGAATACAGAAAAATGGTGTTTGGTGAGTAGTGTTGAGCAAGCAAAGAGTGACTAATAGGTATGGGATGATGGAAGAGAGATTCAGGAGGCATTGGCACTGTTGATTTAATTACATAACTTAACAGGTGAAAGAGAGATAGTATTAGTCACCTGGCTGGTTTTTTCCAGCTGCCTTTGGTAAAATGCACAGTCACCAGGAATCTGCAAAATATGGCTGGGCATAAGTAAGCTGCAAGTCAAATACAGCACGAGAATGATGTGGTGATTTGGGACCACCATGGTAGAATATAGGCATGACCTTGACAAGGGTCTGTGAATGTTTTTTATGAGAATGAGCTGTGAGTTCCCATCATGTGGATAACAGCAATGACCTGCAAGACTGCTGAGCCCTCCTGCTCCACAGCCTTTGGGCTGGTGCCTGGGCTCTCTAACAAGGGCTGAGCATGCCCCTTCCTCACACAGATGCAGTTATATGTTTTCCCTCCTTTACACGATTGACCATTTTCAGGATTCTTTGAAGAATTTATTATCTTTGAGACCTTTATCCCTCTCTCAGACTTGGATGAAATTAATTGGGGAGCTCAGAGAAGAAGGAAGGACAGACAGATGCGGGTCTGA